CCTTGTATGAAAAATCTTGGTGGTGTTTGGGGTCGGCCCCATCTCCGTCGACGAAGCTATCTAGCTGTTACTTCGAAGAAGAACACAGGGGAAACAACAAAACTTGCATTTTTTTTGAAGCCTCACTCCTTTACTTGGTTAAGTGGTACCTTTTTTACCTTTACTCGCCCTCCCGTCGGTCTTCCAAAATTTTTTACAAAAAGTGGGGATTTGGCTTACCCCCTCCAAAAGATTGGCATTGTTTACTTTTCAAATTCGGACGGACTCAGTAGAATGCAGCCACATGACATGTCTGTTTATAAATATGGTACTACTCCAGGGAAGTTGGATCGGAACCTCTGGTTAAAGAGATATCTGAAAACGGTCATAAGTCAGAAGAACTTTTTATGCTAAGGCAAAGCTTTACAGTAAAGATATACAATCGTTGCATTTGTTATATAATTTTTTAGCCTTGCACAGGTTATAATAGTGCATTTTTATTAGATAGAGAGGTGAAATCCCTCTTTACACTTTATTCTGGTTTTATAAAATTTTTTTATTTTTTCCTGTTTTTTCTTTTTTTGGGTTTTTTTTTATTTTTTATTTCGCTTTTTTCTCTTTTCCCTCTTTTGCTCATTTCCCTTTTTAGTCATAGTTCGTTTTCATTTTTTATAGAATTTTTTTTTTTTTAGATAATTCCAGTCATCTGTGATCTGGTAGATCGGAGTCGCTCATAGGCCTGAGTTAGGTTTCACACTGCGATATGAAACCATGTAATGTTAGACTTCTTTTTTTGAAATTTATGTATTTATAGTTCTTATAAATATTAATAAATAAAATTAGTCACGGCGAGACCCGTCGACATTTAAAAAAAAAAAATATATATATATATATATATATATAAACTACATACAAGAATAAAAGCTCAGACTAATTATTTATCTGCAACCTAAACCTACTATATATATTTTAATTATTTAGTAAAGCATATATTATACAAATAATTTATTTTTAATTTACTATATATTATTTTGATATTTATTGCAAAATTTATTATTTTTTAAATAGAAAAAATTATAAATTTTTTTTATAAAATTGTTAATAAAAAAATTTACAGTATAATAAAAAATATAATAAACTCTAAATAATTTATATTTGGCTTTAATATAGAAGTTATTTATTAATTACCAACTCTTTCTGATGATTATTTGGACCAAAATTTTTCACTAAAAGGAAACAAACTTTTGTTGGAGAGTCGTCGTAGTCTAATATAATGGTTTGCTTAGAGGTCAACGGTTTTCTGTTTCGGAACTCCTCTATAAGTTGTGCATTTGACATACAAGCCAAGAGCATTAGTAAACAAGATAATTGGCAGGAGGTGTACGCTCTTGGATACAAAATCTTGGTGAAGGGACTAGAGTCTTCTTCATCAACAAAGTTATCTAGACTGTTTTTTTCTAAAAGAGAACATAGAGGAAACAACAAAAGCTAATTTTTCTTTAAGCCATACTCTTTTACTTGGCCAAGTAGTTCCTTTTTTACTTCTATTCACCTTCCTGTTGGTTTTTTAAAATTTTTCAAAAAAAGTAGGGATTTGGCTTACTCCTTCCAAAAGATCAACATTGTTTATCTCCAAATCCAGATAGACCAGTAGATGACAACACGTGTCCGAAAATAGATATGATGTTTAAGTGCTGAAATGAGTCTCAGTCAAAAAAGAAATTCCTAATTGTGGCAAATAAGTGTTTGAGATATGGGTCTACAGACAGCAGCAGCATCTGCTTAAGATATGAATTAGATTTATAAAAAAATCCAGAGTTGGGTTAGAAAGAAAAATAGCAATAAGACATAGTCTTACAGTAGAGATATACAAATATTGTTCTTGTATATAATTTTTATCAATCTGGCACGGGTTATAATAGTGCACCTCTATTTCTTATATGTGTCAGGTTTGCCTGTCTTTTTTTTGCTTTTTTTATCTTTTTCCCTTTATATATAAATAGAGTTTAGGGTTTCATTCAATTCTTGTTTGTATATGTCTTAAATTTTTGGTCTTTTGTAAATTTTGGCATTATTTTTTTCCCTTATATAAATGTAAGAGATTTAATTATTCTGCCAGGATCTAGGTGGAAAAAGTTTTAAAGGAAGATAGGCGATCTTGACACAGTAGACAACAACCTGTCCATAATCAAGGGAGTACTCTTAGTCAGTACAAAATTCAATGCAAGTGTTGAATCCTGAGTGAGACTAATAGTTGTTATAGCAGGTCACATTTGGCATTTTGCTTGGTAAGTTTTTATTAGATTAGAATATTACACTTTAAGAATACAAGTACTTCATACTTTCATTAATGAGTTGTTCCAATGAATAAAGACAAAAAAAATATAGAAGTTATTTGGCAAATTAATAAAGTACAAATTATATAGTACAAACAATCTATTTAGTTGGAAGATGCTAAAAAAAAATATTAGATACTAAGAAATATTTATTAATATAAGTTTCTAAAAAAATATATTGATAAATAAAAAAGTTTTTATACAAATAAACACTATTTTGAATCTTCTCAGCCAAATAAATACACCTCTTAAGAGATTTTCTCTAAAACTAAGTATTTTCTATTTTGATTTTTTTTAATAATAAATAAAGTTTAGTGTATCTTGTTGCAATAATATATTAAATAATAAAAAATGAAATTAAAGTTAATTTTAATGAAAGAATATGATTTTATGCGATGTTAATTAGTTGAATGATTTATTTGTAAGGTAGAAGAGGGTAATATTGAACTTGTGACTGTATAGAGGGTTGATTAAATTTTGATTAATTTGAAAAAATTTTACCAGACTTCGGTTCCTAGTTTTTTATTAGTAAGACTTTACTTGGTCATATGCTTTTTAAGTGTTTAAATGGTTTAACATTATCGTTACTAAGTCTGTTTTATTGTTGATTATATATAATGGTTGTTCCGTTGCTTTCTTTTTATTAAACTACGTCCGAATGAGTTCATCGATAATGAATGTTATAATTTAAAATAAAAGGTTTACAATTGCGCTATTATGCAAATATATTCGACGTTCGACATGAAATTTCCTGGCATCTTTAACATTTTACGATGGCATGATTTCCTGACATCAATGTTTGAACTCGAGTCAACTCGTAGCTTAAAAACATAGTCTTAACTCAAATTAACTCGAGTCGAGACTATGTTTTTTAAGCTACGAGTTGACTCGAGTCCAAACGCTACCTGGCATATTAGGTAATAGGTTTTTGCAAAAAATTTCAGTTATCACATTATACACTTAAAAAATAAAAAAAATAAATCGGTTGTATTACAAAAAATAATATTTATTCTGCTACTAAACGATTATAAAAAATATATTATATAAAAATATAAAACTTCGTCATGAATTAGATAGATAGACATTATTTAAAATAAGTCGATGCCAAGCTGGCTAAACCACCGCTACCGCTATCACCTTTATTCATTAGTTTCATCGCCATGGATGCAGCACCTGATAAAATCTCCTCTATTATAAATAAATAAACAGATGTTTGTTTACTACAGTAACAATTTTTCGGAAACTTTTCGGAAACATAAAAATTACCTTTTCCGCCGCCGCCATCACCACCACCATAAGATTGTTTTTTTTGCCAAAGTTTCATACCTTCACTCATCGCCAATGAAAGAAGTTCGGATTTATCATATGATCCTCCAGTACATACTTTTTTTAACGCTTCAAAAGCCGCAGCGTGGCCAAGTTCTTCACCAGAGTGTTCTTCTACATTATCCTATAAATTCAGAATTTTAATCATGAACCAATAAAAATAAATTAACTACCAAAAAAAAAATTATATTAAACGGACCGATTCATAAATTTTTTTATGTTTTTCAAGAACTCCCTCATGATTGACTTCTGTCTCTCCGGTAGACGTTAAATTTTCATGTGCTTTCTTTGCAATTTTTTGGTATTCCTCTATTTGAGAACAACATATTAACAATATGATTTATTTTATTTGACCATTTTGTAAAAAAAATTACCGACCGGCATCTTCATCAGAATGCCCATGCTCTTTAGGAAATGAAAAGCCGCCATTATCTGACATATATCCTTTAGCAGCATTCATTAAAACTTATAATTGGATAGATTATTTTAATTAACGCTCAATAATGCTATTTAAAAAAAAAAAATTATTATTTTTACTCACCTATCCGTCGATTTATGACAATTCATGTTATAAAAATTGATTTTTTAATTAGCGTATAATAAACTGCAGACTATTAATAATTAAATTGTTCCGTCACCAAAACAATTGTTCTTTTAGTGCGTCTTGGTAGTCTATATATATTTTACACATATCTACCATTCTTAAAAAATGAAATAAAACTTACAGTCCATCTTGATAAATTCTTTAATAATCAATAACAGTTCTGAAAGCAGAAAATATAGAACTAAAGAAAAAACGAAATATCAAAATTTTCTTTTTTTATATATATAGCTGTGTAAAAGAAAATACCTAATATAGATATAGTGGGAGACGAAATATTTTTGTTGTACAAGATATCTATATATGTAAACTTCCGTGTCATTACGTAGTAAAAAAAAAACTAAACAGAGAATAACGAAATTGGCTAATTATTCTAATTCAAATTCTACGTTTAACTTTTCAAGTATTGACTGATTTTCCAATTACATTAAATGGCACAAGCTTTAGCGCCCATTCTTAAAGTGTTAAATATTTATATATTTATGTTAAAAGAATTAAGGGCGAAATAACCATGGCTGTCGCTATATTGAAAGATATTTTCACGAAGTGCATCCACCAAAAATTGAAACGCAGAAAAAAGAATTTACTGTATAATATATCGGAAGCCATTTATCAGCAATTGTATCTTATATTAGGTAATTCTACTTTCATAATGTCTCCTAAAAAATACTAGGTACGTAGCCTATTCCGTTTTCCATATATATTTTAAAATGATCCGCAAAGATTGGTTTTTGTTAGAAAATATATCAATATTTGGAAAGTAAAAAAATGATTTCAAGTGTCAGCCATGTATTTTTTAAAGATGAGATGTTTAAGGTGATAATTAAACAAACAATTAAAGTATTATAATACTGTACTTTAGCCCAAGACCCTTTAACTTATTTTACTAGCATATTAGTAAATAGCAATCGAAATAAAAATTTGACTTATTAAATAATGTAAAAATAAGATTAGCTTTATACAATAATACTGTATCTAATGTTTTTGAATACAGTATACTGTAAGCATTATTTACAAATAGTTATCAGTCGATCAAGATGTCACATTTGATTTTTTGTCCTATGATTTTCATAAATTACACAAATCGACGAAATCACGTTTTTTAAATTTTCTCTCAAAGTCCTAGTCGTAACAAATAACCTTCCTTAAAACAAATAGGTTGCCAGGGCTTCAATGAATCAAACGGTATAAAGTATGTGAAACATACCATCACCCGGTAATGTGTGACTCCTTTAAAGATAGGCAATTATTTTGCCTTCTTTTGCATGATTCTTTTGGAGTTTTCAAGATCTTAACGTGAAAAATAGCTTGTTAGATGCGCATGAGCGAGAGCTTTTAGTAAAATACATCTTCAAAGAGCTGTTACATTAGAACCATTATACAGAAAATCAAGAAAAACTGGTTTATACTATATACTGTAGATTGTAATCTTTGCTAATAAGTTTTTTTTTTTTTTCTTTTAGTAAAAATTATATTTTATTAACTTTTGTTTTACCTTTTTAGGTGCTTATGGAAGTGTTGTTGTTGCTTGGTTTTGTAGTCGTTTCATATCATTATTTTATTGAAGCCTTGGTGTAAACTCATCACTTAGGTGTTGTCATGAGTATGGATTTTGTCATTTGGGTGATTTTACGTCATTGTGTAAGTGTCATTTTCGGCATTACTTTGGATGTGAATTTCATCACTTGTGGTAGCTCTGTCCTGGATATGAATTTGTCCATAAGTTAGTTTAGATTTTGTTGTTTGTGCTATTGGCGTTTTTAATGAACTCTGCAAGAACTTTATACTGACCTTTTCTGTTCTTTAATGATTTTGGATTTGGTGGAGAAAAATAATTAGTTATTGCATTTTTCAAGAGCACCATGCTGAATTTTTCATGCTTTACCTGTAAAAAGCTTAAATCAGAAAGAGGAAAAGCATTATATGTACTTTGTAGGAAAGAAAAAGCGCCAGCGAGTACACTTTGCAAAAGTGTTAATATGATCTCAAATTAGCATTTATGGGCATCCTGAATTAATGTGCATCATAATATAGCACATAATTTATTGTTATACTTTACAGTCAAAGAATATACCGAATTAGAAAATCAGGTTCCAGAATAATCCATGCGTCAGATTTTGAATTTGATTAGTTCTTGTGTATCCTTTGGTCAGCATTCTTCGGAAATTTTTTTATACCCCAAATTTATTACTAAAACTCACAAATAATCATATAAGTAGACAGTAGAGAACACATAATTTAAATAATCAAAAATAATCAACGCTAATTAACTTCTATCAAAAAAGTAAATAAGACTTGAAAACTTGGAAGATTTTATGTCTATTTGGAAGGCTAGTGTATTAAATTCAAGAACTATATTGCAATCCTTGCCAACTAAATAGCCAAAAAAAACTTTATTATATATTATTTAAAACTTTCTTACTTGTATTGTTTTTGTTGTAAGTTATTATTTATTAACTGAATCTTTATATAATGCCTTTTTAGTTTCATAGATTTAAGTCATTAAGCATAAAGATCATGATTAATAAGCTATTCAGGTTTAGTGATTTGTTTTAGTTTTATGTTACTAGTATTAATTTAGTTGGCTGTTATAAAAATCAATTACTAATTAGTTAAAATAAACTACATAAATTATAGGTTTTACCATTTACTACACAATACTTTTTGAATTTTATTACAGTATTAGTGAACTGAAATATTATTGTTGTTTGATACTTAAGGTAAAACTACTTAGTTATTTAAATTATAGACTTTTACCATCGTAAAATTTTTGAATTTAGTTAAATTCAAACTATTCTTAAGCAGTTCTCTTAATGTAACTTAGGTTATTTAGTAAACCTATTAAGGAAGATATTAAGAATAAATGCTCTTCGTTAGTAATCAAAAAAATAGAACCAGATCCAAAATCCGGTACTGCATACTTCTTTTCACCAAAAGTTTACTTAATTGACATCACATAAAGTTAGAGTTAGTGCTTGATTAGTCATAGATATGAATTGTTGCTTGAAGTGGTGTCGACTAGATAAGCTATTGGTGAAATGACTATTGGTAAAGTAAAGCAGAACTGAAAGATCATCTACTAATAGATATTTTGGGAGTAATTGATATTTATTATTTTACAATAAAGCTTAGTTTTTATGTTAAATAAAAATTGTTCATTAAATTGATTTATTTGTTACTCGTATAAGAATAAAATAAAATATATGAGCGAATAAATAAATACTAAAATAAATAAATAAAAGTCAAGTAAAAAATAAACGAATAAAAATTTAAATACTGTATAAGGAAAAAAAAAATCAATAATGTAAAATATATAATAAAGTATATATACAAGTATATATACTGTATATATGTAGTATAAAACGAAAATAAATTTTTATTTTATTTTTTTGCTTACTTGATATTAGTATAGTTTGATTGGTCAATATATTCAATGATCGATATAATTGAAATTTCTAGAAACATTCAATCGATATTCTATTACCATATTAGGTGCGATTGATATTGTCCAAATATAGTATATTCTCTGACTGCTTTATAAGCACATGTAATTTGATTGGTCTAATATAATTATTTAATATTATATGTAGGTTATTTTCTATATATATACTTTTACCCAACATGCTTTACAGAAATCTTGATTTTTTAAAAATATAACCATTATATATCTAACAAATAATAAAAGTCTTAGTAAGCTCTGTTAACTCTCTTATTAGAAATTTATTAATATTATAAATAATTTGTTCATCACTTGGGTGAATTATTGACTTACACAATCAAGCAGGATGAAAAATATATTTTTTATCAGACTATTATATTATTAAAATATTGGAATTCTTTTATTTTATTCTATTATTATTATTATTATTAGATTAATAACAAATTATTTTATATATAAAATTATATTGTATTTATATAACAAACATATTATTAGTAACGAAGTTACAAAAGAGTTAGTAGAAAGAACAAAAAGATAATTATTATATAATTAATATATATTCAAAGTATATTTGTTATATACTATTTTAGATTATATAATAATAGTATTGTTAATATATAATAAATATATTGTAAACATATTTAGTAAAAAACATAGGTTTCTGTAAAGTGTATTTATTGAAGGTTGACTGTATTGAATTTAGAAAACCTTCTCTTGTTTTGAAATAATGCACATGGGCATATTTTAAATAACATGCAGTTCAATTATATTTCGTGTATTGAATACAGTAAACTGATTAATGTGAATAAAATTATTGAAGATTACAATAAGTATTTATGTTTTTGATTTGTGAACTTGTTTTGTTGCTTTTAATTTCATTAATTAAAAATATTTCTTTTTACTTACAGAATGAAATTATTAATGTGAATGATATATACAAAGCGAGTGATAATGTATTAGGTTTTGAGCAAAGAATCGGGTAGGTATTTGGTCAGAAATAAGGTTTAGTTTAGAGTTAGAACAAAAAACTATAACCATAGTTAGAAATAGAGTTAGAACTAAAAGTGGGATTGGGTTTTAGTTAAAGGTAAAGTATATATTTTAAATAGTGAATATATATAAATAAATAAGGTTTATTATAATATATATAATAGTTGATCGAGATATCATATTTGATTTTTTATTATATGATTTTCATAAATTACACAAATCAACAAAATCATGTTTTTTAAATTTTTTCTTAAAGTTTTAGTTATAACAAATAACCTTCCTTAAAACAAATAGGTTGCTAGAGCTTCAATAAATCAAATATTATAAAGTATGTGAAAACCTACTATCATCCGGTAATATGTGACTCCTTTAAAGATGGGCAATTATTTTGCCTTTTTTTGCATGATTCTTTTGGAGTTTTCAAGATCCT